AGCCCGGGGAGGCCCCCCCCCCAAGGGGTCAGCGGTGCTGCTTCTTGTGCCGCAGGATCTCCGTGGGGGTGAAGGTGAAATCCTGCTGGCAGACGTCGCAGTGGTAGGGTCGGTGGAGGGCGGAAGTTTTGGAGGAGTTTTCGGATGCTTCTTCTGGAGGGGCTGCGGGAAAACGCAGAGGAAAAAAAAAAACAGGGATAAGGAAACCCAAGCCCTGCCAAGACCCTTTTTCTTCCCCCCTATCGCACCCCCCAAAACGCGGCCCTCGGTGGCAAGGGGCGCTCCTCAAAGCCAGCACGATGGGGCTCACCACCCTTCTCCATGCCCAAGGAGCCGAGTGGCCACCTAGGCTCCCTCCCCGGGGCAAATCCAGGCTGGTTTTCCCAAATTATCCCTTGTCCCAGCCCCGGGGCCGGGGGACGCGTCTTACCCTCGGCGGGCCGGCAAGCGTTTTGGTGGCACATGCGCTCCAGAGGGGTGAAGGGCATGTGGAGATCGCAGTGGGGACAGGTCCAGAAGCTCCGCAGGCAGTCGCTGTAGAGATCCGTGTCCGTCTGCCGGGATACGAAGGGCGAAGGGGATGCTCGGAGACCCCCGGGGATTGGGGCAAGGGGTGGGGAAGGAAGGACAGGAGAAGGATTTACTCACAGCCAAGCAGTTGTAGGTGAGAAAATCGGTCACCCTGTGGCCGCCTTTCACCTCGTCGGGCTTCATCTCCGTCTCTTGGAAAAGCCCCGGGAGCCGGGGAGCGGCAGCCACGGTTTGGGGACCGATGTAGAGGTTTTGTTTCTCCAGCCCGGTGAGTTGGCGCAGGCGATACGGCACCTGCAAGAGGAGGTGGAAAGGGGAGGGGTGGGGGGGGGGTCAGGCGAGCTCCCCTCATCCTCCTTTCTCCATCTTCAACCCAACACGAGGCGCTGGAGATGGATTAAAAAAAAAAACCAACCCAAAAACCACCTTCACCCCACGGTCACGTCACCTCCATCCGCAGGAAGTCCAGCAGCCCCCGGGTGAGCATGGATACGTCCCGGGAGCTAGGCCGGGGGCCCGATTCCTCTCCTCGCCCTTCCAGCAGTTGGTGGAGGAGTTTTTCCCAAGTGGAGCGAAGCTGCAGAGCCGCGGAGAGCAGGCGCAGGGCAGAGTCGGCATCGGGGACGGTGATTTCCAACCATCCGTCCGCTACCAGGCGGGCGCAGTCCGCGTTGGTGTCCAGCGAACGGGAGAAGAGCAGGAGAGCCTGGAGGAGGCAAAACGGTTGGGGGTGAGGAAGGCTACGGGAGCGGGGGGGGCTTGGAGAGGAAGAGGAGGAGAGAGCGAAGAGCTCACCTGTAGGGCTGGTACGCGGACGCAGTTCACCAGGTAGGGTTTGGTGGTCTCCAGCAGCGAGACAAAGGCGAGGAGCTGGTGGTGGCAGCTCAGCCCCTCCACGGGGTCTGCGGGGGGGATAAGGGGCGTCT